GGGGAAGGGATGACAAAGAATTACGCAATTTCAAATACAAAGAAAAGATTTTGTTTCAAGGATAAAATGTGTAAGATTCATCTACATGACAATACTAATTTAGACAAGAATGATAAACTCTCTAAAGTTTGGCCCTACTTAGATTACTTTAGAAATTGTTTCCCTGAAAATGCCATTTGGGAAAGAGAAAGTAGTGTAGATGAAGCTATGACACCTTACTTTGGTCGCCATGACCTAAAACAATCTATTGGAGGCAAATCTATATCTTGGGGGTATGAACTATGGTGCTACAACTTTTGTCTTGGATATCTAATACATTTTGAAGTTTATTTAGGTTCCAAATGGCCTCAAAATAACTACAAAAGTTTGGTTTAGGTAACTGCATTCTTTTAAAATTCAGTGAGATTTTGCCTAAAGGTAGTAATGGTGAATTTCTGCCCATTACTTGTTTACAATTATTTCATATTTCTATATTTTGTCAATAAATTAACTGAAATAAGTATTGCTATAAGTGGAATTATTTCAAGCCATAGAACTGAAGATTGTCCATAGCAAATTATAGCAGAAATGAAAAAGGAATAGGCACTTTGACATGCAATTTTAACACCATTCACAACGGGTTGTTTGTAGTTGGAATAACATCTCCCGTCGTACCTTCAGTATCTATCGGTGAAAGAGTAAAAAATATCACAAACGATCAAAGATATTATTCCTCCATGAAAAATAAAATTTGTGACTCAAGACGAAATAAATCTCACAATAACAGAATGGGAGGAATGGACAGAATGGACCAAAATGTGAGTTATTACAGGATCAATATGAGATCGAAGAAATGGTGGCCTTTTTGGCTACTTGCAAAAATATGGAAAACCTAAATCTAGAACAGGCCCTAACGTGTCCCCTATTGACAACAGGGTCTCCTTTAAGTTTAATTTAATGATAGAAATCATTTTACTGTTCTACAAATGACAAGAACATGATGTGCTCTAATCACACTCAAGTGGAAGGTGCCCAAAATGTAACACAATGTATGAGTTCAAGGAAAGAATAATGCAGAGAGATATCTAATATTCAAAGAATTATGTAAGACAAATGAATTCATTAGAGTTTGCCAAGTGTCATCAAGAATAAATAATTAGCTTCTGTATGTTGTGCCCTTTTTATGCACTTCTAATACACTTACATCAGACAATGAGCCACATCAGTAAAATGGCTACAGTCGTAATTCACAAGAATATTATGATAAGTTAGAGAAAATAAACAAACATAAGAAAGGCAAATCATTCATTCATTAAACTCCATATTTAACACATTCAATTCACTGAATAGTCAACTTACTTTAGTTACTGTAAGCACAAGGTCTGTGGAGGTAGCATATTGACTTAATTTTCCAGTAATTTTGTAGCCTATTACTTGAGGCAACAGCATGGAAATAGACTGGCCCAGCATCACTGCTTCTGCTTCAATACCTATGTAACAATAAATTTTCATTGTAAGTACATAAAAACTTAATTTCTTATGCCAATTCTTATAACAGACATTAAAAGTAAATTAATGTTATTTCAAATATACTCAAACTCATGTATGTTTTCAGAAAACCATTCTTGTTTATTTAATGGGAAGATTCCCTACAACAACACACTGGTATACTGAGTAATTGTTTCCCATATATAATTAAGTTCTAATTCACCTCCTACACCCCAGCCGAGGATACCGAGACCATTGATCATAGTGGTATGGGAATCTGTGCCAACAACTGAGTCTGGATATAAAACACCAGTATCACTGAAAACTACTCTTGCTAAATACTCCAGATTGACTTGGTGAACTATTCCAGATCCTGGAGGCACAATCAGCATGTTTCGGAAGGCCTTTGCTCCCCACTGCAAAAAATCAATCAATCAGATATATGAATAAACAATAACCATGTTAGTACAAAATATTAAAAGAATTATCTTGTTAAACAAACCCTATAAAATTTAAATTAACATTCTATTTATCAAAAGACATTGTGTTCATTCATTAAAATGCATTATCTAAAGACAGTCATTTTTGAAGTATGTCTGTTTTGAAAATCATTTCTAATATCATCAAAACATCCCAAACATCATATCCTACCTTTCACTATGCTGCACTTTGGAATCTCAAAAATCACCCCATTTCAGTGATTGTATATACTGAGTGTACCCTAGTGAGAATATCAATGGGTTCACCTCAAGGAAGGAAATCATGCGAAAAGTGTCATGATCAATGTGAAAAAGTGCACCTAGCTCATGCCTAGCCAGGGCTGTAAAGAATTCTTTATAACCCCTTAATTTAAAAGGTGCTTTGTGCCACTCTGTCTGCCAAGCAGTGGGTAAGAGACATTTAAGAAATGCCTTTAAATCTGTTGATGGTAGAGTACAAATGTCAACATTAAATTTCTGAGTTGATGATTACGCATGATGACCTTGATGCTGCTGAACGTAAAAAAGATTGAAAAACCATCCAGTCATACCTCCAAGTGGCATTGTAGGTATTTTCTATGCAAAATAGTACGACAATGCAGTGTTGCCTCATGAATAATGAGATCTGCCGCCAAAGCAACAACACATTTCAGAGTGACCGGTGTCTTCTGAACCTGCACTGAATTGGGATGATTTCTGCACATACGTTCCAACACTGCATTCACAGCTTGCCAGAGATATCGATCAGTAGCTTCATAGTGATGATCGACTATTTAGAGCTGGGACCACCATCTTTCGACCATGGCTAGGACGACAATTGATTCTCGCCATTTGCAGGAAGGTGTGCTCTTCCCAGATATGATTACAGTGATACAAGAAATTGCAAGGACATTTCAGCAAGGCAATGAAGCATTAGTTCATGAATTTCATCTGGACCCATTATTTTCACAAGCGCAATTTTTTTTTTTTTTCTCTCTCTCTCTCTCTAACATAGCTCACTGAATTTTACCATAATGAGCAGTGAGTTTGTCTGCAATGGCGTCTCTATAGGTAATCACCTCTCAATTCTTCAGTTGACCTGGCACTGTGTTTGGTGATAAATATTCTTCGATTTTGTGTATATTTGTTCATACAACCCGTGGTGGTGCATGACAACTGAGCAAAAAGACATATGACATCCACAATGAATTTTTGCTTTCTAAAATGTTTTTTCTCCCCATTGCTCTACACCTTTATATTCAATTAGATTTTCCATGGTTGAATAATGTGCAAGTCATGCCAGTGCCTTTTTAGAGGTGCCATCCACCCTTCAATAGTTTAAATTACATCACGGGATAATGGGGCACCGTGGTTTAAATGTTGGTTTCTGAATTGCAGGGGAAGCAACAAGGAGTATAGCTCTAATGAAATGTACGGCCATTCTGTCCACATCGTCAAAGTGATTGAGAGGATGACATTAGCTTGAAATATCAACTGGACAGTGTGTTGAGTGGGTTGGGAAAACCCATGTCCTAGTCAATCAGTGTGGACACCCATGATCTAAAAGGTCAATGTCAATGGTGGGGAAATGATCCCTTCCATACTAGTCTTCTAACATAGACCACTGCATGATGAAAAGGCATTGGTGAACTGCATAGCCTATCGGGTTTCAGGCAATGAGCTTCACGCACCAGTTCGCATCACAATATAAACGGATAATTTTAAAAGCAAACAGATTATCACCTTGTTACAAGTCATTGAAACAGATATACAAAGAATTTTTTAAATATTCCATCTTTATTTCAACTACGAGTGGCTTGGTCGGTGAGGGGATACTTCGCTGTTCTCTCAACCCCCAGTGCATGGGTTCGATCCCAGCCGAGGCCCTTCTTCATAAGGCCCCCAACCTGTGTCAGAAGTAGGTTTCTCCAGAAGCCTGGATCGAAAACTAGGGAAGGCAACAGGAAACCACCCTGAGTAATTGATCCCAAGAAAACCCATTATGTGTTATCTGACCTTCCGTATATATATGGAAGATAGGTCCAAAGATAATGATTTCAACTACACCTTCATGTAATTTTTGGTTGGTCACCGTTGAAAATTGTCTCTTTATGCCACTTCCAACTGGTTTCTCAACACTTCTCACTTGCCAAGCAACATGGCGACCAGTGTCTAGCCAGGCTCTTCAAATGAAAAGCCTGTGTTGTGGGTCATGACATATTTGGTGCTTCGCAGAATGAGCATACTGGACTAGCTCACCCGTATCTTTTCATCACTGACCACTGCCGAATGGTTATAAGTGAAAGGCTGCAGAGGGCCAAGTCAATAGATGTTCTTGAGTTCTATCACTATGGCAAAATGTGTTGGTTCACCTGTATTGAGAATAATCAGGTTAGAGATACCATCAATCAATTCCAAAATTATGCCCCTTTGACGAGAATGGGACGAACCCCAATGCAGCCCGTGGGCATTTACATTCCCAACAATGAAGAGTGAGCAATTTGTCACGTCCTTTGTATTTGTGAATGTGTGTCATTGGTTTATCAGGCCCAAGAAGACATCAAACAACACAATTTGTCCTGGAGGAATGTACACTTCACACCTTAGGAATGGGAGGTATTCCTGCTATCTCTCCCTCGTTCAGAGGGGCAATTATAGTCTTTGTTCATAAAGAAGCAAATGAATGTGTTCACAGAACTTATTCCATCCTAATCCACATCTTCCTAAGAAGTTGTGCCTAATCCCAGCGAGTTAGGACATTGTTACTCGCTGCACTAGAAAGCAGCAATAGCACTCTCCAAGGGGCCGGGTCTTTATGGGGCCCCTATGCATTAACACCACACTACTGCCAAGGCCTTCTTTTAGCACATGCCAGCAAGTCATTGCTGGCTTGCAACAGGGCAGTTGTTGCATGCTTTTTGCAAAGGTCATGTCACAGCCACGCATGCTATAAGATGAACAAAGTAGATTCCTTAGGCTGTGATCAGTTTTCTTCACTCAAACTTGAAGAAAAAAAAAAAATTAAAATGGAGGATTAAAATTAGGAGCATGTTAGTTGGACAATTTTTACAAGACAAGTTGCTGGCATGAAAAAATGAATATTCTGACATTACAGATCTACACGATTCCATAAAGGGGAAACAAATACATGACTAAATGCGTCACTAAAAATCCTACCTTTGATTTTTGTGAATCATTGGTGTTTGTTAAAATTTCAATAACATTAAAGATGTTAAGATGATGATAGACTTACTCAATTTTTATGTGGGCCAATCAGGAAAAATTCATGAGTCACCGGTGATAAATACTGCTGTAATACAGTTCTATTTTTTTAAATTATATTTAAAATAGTTTATATCCATTGATGCATCCAATGAGAGGAGGAGGCTCAAGGGGTTTCAGCCCTCCTCCAGAAGTCAATGACACACATTCACAAATACAGTTTTGTGTTTCATGAAGCTACTGACATTAAGCACTTCAGCTTAAGGCAAAATGGGCAATTTGTATGAAGACAAAATAGGAACTTTTACTACAGCTTGGGAGATGTGATGTAAGTCACTCTGACCTGAAGAAGAATTTGTAATAATACAGAAGAAAAAAAATAATCATATGATAAAATTTGACTGGTGTAAATAGAGAAGAGGACCCCAGTAACATTGTACAAGGTGATGACATGTGATGAAGCTTGGCATGATGGAGAAACTTTTCATTCCTTTTGAAAAAAGAAGATCAGCCTCAAACTCTATTAGAATTTTTTCCATTCTTCTCTAAAAATTACTTCTTTAAAGTGTACGGTGACGACATGGACTTTTACGAAAAAAACAAAAGCAAGATTACTTCAGTGCAAATTGGTTGGGCCATTATTCTTCAGTGAAGTTTTCAGTAGAAAGCTATTTTTTTTCTAACATTTTGGAATCTGTACATTTATGTTCTAGATATGCCATATAATGCTATTTCAAGTAATTTATGGCTGGTAAAGATTATGCATTATTCAGAAGAAAAATTTTGAAGAATTTACACTACTGTCAAGACAAATTTTTGAAGACAAAACTACTGTTTGTGTTAAAGAACAAGGGTTTCGTTTAAAATTTGTAAGCCTTCTTTTGAAGCATAAATGTGTGTTAGGGAAGCCAGTTATGCCATTAACATGCAGTTGGTCACACAATATTTGAATTCTTCTGGAAGAGAGAGACTCGCATCTTCAGACAGGTATTATACCTGTCCACAATTGTCCCTTGTATTATTTAGTTTGCATGGTCATTTGAATGGAACAGTGATTACCATCAGAAAAAAATATTCCAGTTGAGATGGAAGCCCAGAATTTGAACAAACTGAAAGGAGATTAAGTGTGTATGTCTGTCACTGCTAAGATTAATTTGCTCAACAACTACTGTCTATGAAAATAAAATAAAAATCAAGACAATAGTATAGAAACAAAAGTGTGATGGAAGGAATGAATTATTTTGATTATTGGATATAGCCAGAGATAATGCCTTCCTCTGGTACAACTAGGCTTCTCCAGAGGAAGACGCTGATTGTTTCAAAAGAAAGTAATAAAGCACCCTGTGGAGGTTTGGAGAATACTAATATATCTGTGAAATGCTCATCTTCCGATTGGAAAAGGTTTAAATATCACCAGACGTATGGCCAATTCAGTTTAATTCACATTAAGAAGGTAAATTGAGACCACAGTTTACAGTGACTGAAAATTGAAGAGGAAAACTAGAAATGATTATTTAGACTTCTTGGCTGTCTGGGTGATGCCACTCGTTGGCTGAGAGGCCAACGTATGGGGCATCACCCAAACAGCCAGAAAGTCATGAACTCAAGCTGCGAAAGCTTAATAATCACAAATGATAGTTAAATTTGTCCTGACAATCCAGCTCTCGAAGCATAATATTATTTTGAGCTTTTTCACATAAAAACTATGAGCTACAACAGCACATACTTTCTTTAATTATTTCTAACTTTGGCTTTCAAAAAGTAAGAGAGTTCGGCAAAAATGAAACCCGTGCCATTCTTTTTTCAGTGTCCCTTGTTCTTTCCATGGGAAAAAAAAAAAAAAAAATAGACAGACTGATGAACAGACAAAAAGTTTTGCATCAACTAATTTTTTCATATCAAGAACCCACAAAACCTGATTTCTCATCATATGAAATAATTTACTTCATAAAGGAACATGATTTACCGTATTACCCAAATATAAGTCGATCTTAAATATAAAAAGGCCCCCTAATTTTGAAGAAGAGAGAGAATTTTAAAACTTTTTAAGTAATTCTTACTATTTAGTCAAACTAAAATTACAAAATGTTTCCTTGACTAGAAAATTGACTTGTTGATGATGTTAAGAGTTACTGCTGAACTATTATTTTCTTGTTCCTTAATATAATAATCATGTTTTTTGTAACTATTCTCATCATCTTCACATGTATCAATGTTTGTTTCTTCTTGGTCTTCCTTCCACGCTGTGACATTTTGACTTTTTAGGCCCCTCTTGAAAGTTTTGCGGACTAAATATTTGTGTTGGTCATAGTCTTTCATCAGAAATCATCTAAGAACATTCCCTTCTGACAACAGATTTTCTATCCGTCCCGGTCTTGTTGAAGGCATCCGATTCTGTTCAAGACGCAGATTCGTATTCTCTGGGCATTGAACCGAGATTTCACACTGCCTCGAACACGCATCAAGTAACAAAACTCTCAGCATTCACTTTCACATTACGTTTCATTTGATATAATTTTATTCGGTTAGAGATTTTCTTTACCAGCTCATTCAAAATATTAGTTTGAATTGCCTGACAAATTCACGGCGGGTGCCAAGAACACAAACGCAAATATAATTACTTATTGTTACGTGCGATATTTTTACCATCTTCGTAGTTTATTGTTACATCAACATTTACGAGTTTCGTGACATGGAATGGCAATGTAAAAACTTAAATCCTAACAGACTAGACTTAATCTGCGAATATAAGATGACCTCGCATTTTTCGACTGAGATATTTCGGAAAAAACCTTGTCTCATATGCCAATAAATACAGTATCTACTTTTTATGCCAGGACCTGGCAAGAAGAGCATTTCTGTCAAATAATCTATATGCCTCTCTATAATCAATAAATGAAACTAGTGCAGGAATATACAGACTAATAGTCCAATTTAAGAACAGATTTTGTAATTTTAAGAACAAATTACCTGAATATTTAGTTTATTCTAAAGCTATAATGATAAAAATAAAAAAGACAACAGACTAAGGGGCTAAGCATTTCTTTTCAAGACCATACAACTATACCAAGCTGTCAGAAGCACGTCTGTAACCTCACTGAGCCAAGTTGTCATTAGATCATTCCAGAGAGCTCTCCAGTCTAAGGAATGTGACTGCTAATAGGCATACAAGCTGAGAGAGTATATCTTCTAAGCCTTACAAATACAAAGTAATACTTTCTCAAATAGCAAATAAGTCCCATTAAATGGATCTTAAAATGTCATGGTATTATAAAATCAACAAAACATTTAATGTTTAATACGGTTTTAATGCTAAAATTTTCTTTCTTGGAATGAAACATTTCAATCTTTAACTGATTTGAAGAAGAAAGAATATTTGCTATAGTTTCAGAGTGGTGGGGACAACAACCCACGTTCAATCCAGCACTGGAGTCTACATAAGATCTTCCAACATCAAAGGAGCATCATTCTAAAGGTGGCATCACACATTCAGCATTCAGCAAGTAGCAAGGGACTGCTTGACCAATGCTGTGCAAATACAAAAGTAGCTCTTGCACTAGCTGGTTTGCTTTCTTTGAAGTACCAAAAAGACTGACACACAGTGGGTAGGATGAGCACTGAATAATGCACAGCAAATCACACACAACTAGCTGCAAGCTCATCACTAGCCAAATGTATGGAGCCACTTTAACAGAGAAACTATTGAATTTAGATGCTACAGAAATATCTGCATTTGTTACATATAGAGGCACAACATCTAATACACTTTACTACTCCTCATGAACATTAACAAATAAAATAAAACAAAAATAAATAAAAGAAAAAAGAAAACATTTATGGATGTTAAAACTTTCACTACAAATATATGCATTTGTATTTGGAACATAAATGAAGTTTTAACATATAATAAAATCAAATTCCTTTTTCTTTAAATCTTAAAATACTACCACTTACTTTCAAAAACATAAATCTTTCACAATTTCTCTCAAATTCCAAGTCTTGATTCTTTTGTAGTGCATCTGACCTAAAAGATAGAAACAATTAAAAAATATTAAGAAAGTAAAACACAATATGAAAATCAAGAAAATTGAGAACAAGGGAGAACTAACGTTCGTGTGAAATCCACCTGCACCGAATGATCAATAACAAGATCTGATGGACATATGGGATTGATTTTATCTGGATTTCCTCCCAATGCTTTCACAGCATCTCTCATAGCAGCAAAATCAACAACTGCAGGTACACCAGTAAAATCCTAGAGCACAAAAAAAGAATCAAATTGATAGAAATTTTATGCTTAGTAAATAAACAATATTAATCCTTCTAAATAAACAATATTAATTCTTCCAATAAAATATAATTAAAAAGCAGATATTTGTTTTGATATGCATCTTAATCACTGTATTCAAATATTGTATAGTAAATGATGAATTATCCTAAAATATAAGAAACGACTAATTTAAGATGACCAGATGTCCCTTATTAGCTAGCACAGTTCCTAATTTTGAGTCCCTGACCCATATTTTTTTGGCAGGAAAACAGAAAGCTAAAATATCCTTTTTTGTGACAATGATTTATCAGCATAAAATTATGTCAACAATTTTTAATTTATCACAATGTATTCCATTTGATTCACTTTTGTCTATAAAAAATGAAATGCGACACACTATTGTGCTCATGTGCTATGTAACAAGAGTGTTTAGTGAATCGGTTGTGGTTTCTAGAAGAGAAAATGCAGCTATGGCATCATTTCAACTTGTGTAATTGTGTAATTGCGTAACACTAACAATATATCGATATGAAGAAATTCAATAATCAGATCCTTCTGCTTCAGCGAGTTTCTGTCCAACTTAGTACGCTAACTTAATTTAGAAATACTAACTTACAAATGAATGAAAGTGCAAATGAAACATGCAATTTCTATTTTTTTTATTTTTTTTAATGTTCTTTTCGAAGAGATTCTTTGGTTGATGTGAATTGAATGCCACATCCTGAATATTATAGTAGTTACATTTTTATTTAATTATCTAATTTTTATTTCCAAAGCTAAATAGTTGTGACAAAATTGTCTTTAACATCCTCTTTTGCCCCATTTATCTTTGTGACAAAAACTAAAATGTCCCGTTTTTATGTTTTCAAAGCATGATCACCTTAATTTAATTACATTGAGTATTTACAACATCAAAACAACTTTTTTAAAAAACAAGTTGCAGCACAATGCTCCAATAAACCTAAGAATGAATTATATCAAACATACATGTAAATAAGACCCTACATTGATACTTTTCTCAGAAATATTTTAGTATGTCAACTACAGGATTATTAATATTGGGTATTAACTCTCACTAAAATTGATTCTCAACTTGAAAATTACATTCAAGAATATATGAAAAAATAACTTTTGTTTATGAAGTATCTATAGCAAATTATGATATAAAAAGTTCTCTCAACACACATGATAAAATATTCAAGCACAATTGGGGGATAAATATAAAGCTCTTTAATGATGTTTCATGAAAGAAAAATATTTTCCTTTTCAAGTATTTTCAGAAAGGACTTCCACTAAATTTCAAGGGTTTTTATTGAGCAGATACTTAGTTATATATTCTAATTCAGTATAAATGTATTGGATAATCATTTTAATCAAGTACTAACGAGTCATCAGCATGCTCTTCAAAATTTATATAAAAATCATGAAATCTAAGCACATTCTATTATATTCTATCATTTTTAAATTTTATTTTGCAATAAATAGATCAATGTAATATGTAACAAAAAAGCACAAAACAAAATAAGACCTATCAAATTACCCAATTTATACATTCTGACTCTAAGTATTTAAAAGCGAGTAAAAAATAAATTTTCTTCTACACCTTGAACACTTTAAGTAGAATTCTTGAAATAAAAATCCTTTCTATATTAACACTAATTTAGTGGTGTAATATTGTTGTCCAACAAGGCATATTCATAAAAAGTATATTTAATAAAAATTTCAACAAATAGTGAACTATCAGAGTAATATGTGTAACTCACTTGCAGTATTACTCTAGCAGGTTTAAAAGCCACTTCAACACCTTCTGGTACTGCTTGATTTTTCTCCCAGTTCAATATACTATTTACATCTTCTTGTTTCACTTGGAAGTTGTCACAATTTCTCACAGCAGATTCCAAAAGAACCCGAATAGAAAATGGTAAATTCCCTGTAAGTTTCAGTATGCAAATTAAGTTTTCAATGCAACCAGCAACAGTGTAATAATAATTGAACAAAAACTTTTACTGAAACATGGTGAGTATAAGAACAACAGAAAAAAAGTTTTAGGGAACCATAACATGACAATGCTTTGACTGATAGTGTTACATACAGAGTACATAATTTTTTTTTTAACACATTCATAAATGGTAATTGTATTCCAATTTACAGAGCATTCAGCTTTCAATATTTAGACTTACATGTGGAGGGATCTTCAGCAGTGAAAAATAGGTGTTTGAGAGTTGTTTATGGTAACAACAAATGCAGAAATATGTCATTCACTTATGCAGTTAAGATTCCATACATTGACACTATATAAAAGTATTGTTGTCATATATTCATTGAGGAAAACAAAAAAAATTAGGCACAGGAAAAAGAATGAACGTCATGTTTTGGTTCTCTCTATGTTAGAAAATGAAATGAGAATTTTATTTAAAAAGAATGAGAAAAATGTTTTATTCCATATCAATTGTTTTAAAGACAAAAAAGAGGCAACACTATTAATATTATGACACCAACAGAACATCTCTCATTATTTCATGGAGTTTAATATCGTCCTCACACTATTGGAAATCTCAAAGAAAAGTTTATTATTGTTATTATTAATATTAGGTATAACTTTCTCAATATATAATTGAAGAATTTTATTTATTGTTTTTTATTGTGCTGAATATCCTTTGCATGATAAACTGCTTCCCTAGATAACCATGTTATTATTTATATAGATGAATTGCATGTTAAAATTTGATATTTGTAACAGTTTACTTTTCCCCCCTAAGGATATTGAGCAAAAAGTAATGTATTTCCAACTATCAAGGAACTTTGACAACCCAGTTTTCTCAAATTGCTAATCAAGCTGAATAATACAGTTATATAGTACAATTCATAAGTAGATTTCACTTCAAGCAACATCAAGCCCCCCTACATTAAAAAAAAAAAGTATGCAAGTTAAACGCCTAATGCATCCCTTCCATAACACAGAAAACTTGAGAAATATGAATGAATCATAAATGATACATGGTACCACTAATTAACTCAGAGTACATCAAATCTGTTATTTAGAATATAATTAATATGCTCTAATGAACTAAGCCAGTACATGCAGAAACTTCATCTTCTAAAATTCTTAGAAATTCAATATCAATGTCACGTCAATTTAAAAGGTTTCCAATGAACTACATAATCCAGAAGCTTATTAATACTATTTATGTAAACTTACATTGTCTTTGGAAAAGAATACGTATAAATTTGTAACAATTAAAAAGCCTCACATAGTCTCTGAGTCTACTTAGTTTCATACCTACAACTTATACTACTACATTATTCTTGCCTCTTGAAAGACTATCAGGTGCTTATTCCTAACATGAGAGTAGAAACGCACATGATGTCAAATCATAAATACTTTTGATGTCGATTGTAAATTACATAAAAGACATGCAGAACTACAAAATTATACCTACTGACACGTTGCAAACGATAATGTAAAGCAATTGTAATACATTATGGAGTTCCTTACTGTAAGATTGGCTCAACGCCGGTAAATCGAAGTATTTGTATTCCTTTCCATCGATGACTAGAGATTTTAGGTACGAAGTATACGGATTCTCTCCTGAAAAATGAACATGTGATGTACAGAATTAATTTTTCTCTAACCAACACAAGACCAACAAATTTGCATAATCTCTAATAAAAAAGGAACAAAATTCACAATGAATAATGTTATAAAATATTGGCGTGACAATTCAATGTATAAATGTATTCTGTAATTTCACGTCATAGAAATAACTAACCTGCTGCCATTATGCTGGTGATGAGCGGCACGTAAAGCAATTAACGACCGCTAGATACAGTTGAAAAACGCCAACTCAATCACAAACAATTTGATACTGTAAAGAACACGTATTGTATTGGAGCAGTCAATTCTCGGTGATACAAACACGAGGTTTACTTTCGAATAGATGTGGGTCAGTAGACAAGCTCACTATATTAAGAGGAAAATGATGTGATGAAGAGACACCAGTGCCGTGACTCAAGGGATGGATTTTAAACGTCACGTTCAAGTCTCAGTCGTATTATTACCACCCTGACCTCCACCCCGTCTTATCCCTAACCCGTCCCCAACGAACCCCAAGCTCACGGCGCTTACGCTCCACCTACGAGCAACTGTACGAAGCGCACGAGCACGCGCAGCTGGCAACTGCTGACTACTACCTCGCGCCCGAGTCCTCAACGTCCTCTGACGAACGAGACGATACGCTGTGAAGGGAAAACTCAAGTTCGTCATTGTCAACGTCATATACCGCCAACCTTGAACGTCTTGATCGCCTTATCGCGTCAGAAATGTTACCTCATTCAGTTCTGATCAGAACGTAATTTTCACGAGAACGTATAGATCCCCGGAAATTAGATGGAAATGTGCCCTTCGCTATCGCAATTGCTGTCGCTGTCTCGCTTTATAGTTATTTATAAGGTATTCATTTGAGTTACCAAATGACTTTCTTTATTACTGAAAATAAATAGAAATTATATTTGTGAATAGGAGTAATCATCTTGGTGGAAGGGGTGGAGGCACATGAGGCTATATCTGAAGGGAGACTGGATGATCCTTTAGTATAGCATAGTGCAGCAACCTATGATTTGTTTCGCCTCTTAAACTCTTCTCCAACATAATCTATTTTCTGTAATAGGGGGGAAAATCCGAAGAATTTGTTGACAAACGCTCCAGTAATGAGCTCCGCTTCAGTATTTTAGAGATATTTGTTAATGTAGGAAAGCTAGTTAATTTAGCATACCCTATGATGATACTGTGTTCCACGCTTCAGGAGAGAGAAAGTTTTATTTCCATCATTTACACAACAAAACGCCGAGCTCTAAATTCAATCGTGGACAGAAAATCGACGATACTGTTTCTGCCCCATCCGAAGACCTTGCCTAGCCACGTTATGCAGCGGTGCACAGGTGGAAGCACAGCATCGTAGCCTTGTCATATTCCGCAATTAAAAATTTATAACTAAATATTTTTGGAAGTAAAGATATAAGAAAACGGTCTCGGGATATTTTGGCTATCCTGTACAGATACACCTCTTCAACTTCAAATTTAGATCAATTTTAAATTGATAATTAAATTGATATTGAGATGTATTACTTTCAAATTGGGACTAGACAATTTCAAATTGAAAACAGTCAAGTAAAAGTCTAAAACGAATAAATAAATTAAATAATATTACGAACTTCTAGACACTACTTAAAACCAACTTTATCATAATTATTTGCAAAACCATATCTGGTTAATTTAAGACAGAAACATATTTCTCAAAGCCAAATTTATTAAAATTTAGCCATACTTTACATAACCAAATCAGTTAAATTTAAGGTCTCAAACTGAAACTTTGTACATGAGCAACGAATCGTGGGCAATTTATGTAGTATTAAAATTTATTAGTTGAATAAAAATATAGAACAACTTTCATTTTTTTAACACTCACATTTTTGTAACGAGTGACAAAAATGTATCTATTTTTAATGATATATACGAGTGTTGCATTTTCTCTATCACAAACCATTTTTGATCTTTCTGAGTAATATGAATTTATAAAATATTTGTTTTTAAAATACGAGTTTTAAATTTATCCATTTCAGAGGGTAGACCTACAATAAAATTAGAGAAAGCGACTCTGTCTAATGTTTCTATTTTCGATTGTGTTTACATCATGATTAACATTTATTGTCAAGAAGTCAATATCAGTAGCTCTCCTCATTTTGCACATTTTCGTCACATCCGTCTCTATAAAATGAAATTTTGTTTTCCTGGTCAGCTTCAATCGTGGAATCGTATATTTTACATAATTTGATCTAGTGGCACCCAGTCATAGTCAACACTGATTTCGTTACCAGTAATTTTTTTTCTGATACCTCATAGGTGTTTCAATGCATCATAAAAGTTTCAAAATGGTTTCAATACATTTTTGCATTACAAACTAGTAATAGCATGCGCCATTGAAAATGAACAATATGCAATTGGCTGATGTAAAGATAAAAAAATTTCTGCGCCACTCAATTCAGTAAAATATCAAATGTAATATTCACATAAATGAGTTAAACACTAAATTAAGTTCATTGTTAATTCGCATTTAGAATTCTTTGAAATTCTGTCAGCCTTTACGAAGCTCATTGCGTGTATTTTGCAAATGTACTACATTCCCACTTGAGATACACTATGGAGTAATATTCTGGAGAAGCTCATCCTATAGAACCAAGGCTTTTAGTTTAGATAAAACGAGTTTTCTTTTTGCCGAAAATTCGTCGATTTCCGGAGCACCATTACATAACTTTCTCTTCTTAGAAAGTTCCTTCGTAAGGGCGAGAAAGTAAATAATATACAAATAGTCCTAATAATCAAATACCATCCACATGATTTCTGTGAGCATCTCATCATTGAGCTTGGAATCTTACCATTGCATTGCATAACCATTTATTTACTAACATGTTTTTGTCAAAACTGACATCCTTACCGGTGGGAACATACTTTCATAAAATACAGATATTTGTATTTACAACAAGCGCCGTAGAAACCAATACATCAATGTCATTATCAACAGCACACTACAAGAAATTCACACACACTTAATGTACGTTACTTTATAACATTGCTAAATGACATTAAATATTTAAAACCGATACACAAGTTTAAGCCCAAAGTAAAATCTTTTCTGCTGCATAAATATTTCTATACAAAATGAGAGTATAATAACATCAAAAATAAAAATATTTTTTTAAAAAATGATATGAAATGCATTAGTTTACATTTGTATTGTATTATTTTAAACTAGTGGTGCTAAAACATCACGTACTTTCTAGCCAGGATTTTCACGCAAAATTACACGAACAGTACTCAAATGTTCGAAAAATTGAACATGACCTTTTTAAAAATCTATCTTTAAGGGACATATTTCATTAAGAGAAAAATCTCTATCGTCAATATTTTAATCGTAGAAAGACTCCGATAAATTTTTGAACTTTTGTAATTTTCGAAAAATCAGAGTTGTCAACGAATATGAGACCTGCACTATTCTCTTAAATGTCCTTCACACTATCCAGCAACAAAATTTAATAAAAAACAATGGAGCCTTTTTTATTTTTTTTAAATCGCCCAGGAGCGTCACCCCCCACAAGTATTTCACGTTTCACTCGAGATCGGATGCGCACAAATAAGTACATTAACATTTCACTTCAAGAAACAAGATATACAATTTTTCTCGATTACAGTTCCGATCGTTTGCTATATCTTCGAGCATCTGTTATCCTTTGGCTTTGTAAGGAAAGCGGCTAATTTAGATAATTTTAATAATAAAGCCTTTTTCAATTGACGATTACAATACGCAAACAGTTTTCTTTGACATGATGAAAAAGTGTCAATAATTTTAAAGGTAAATCTGCATATTCTATACACGAAGTCATATTCCAGTTCTTTAAGGTCATTTAACAAACATTCGGCGATGGTGTAACGGTTAGCGTACTGGACTGTTGTACCCAAGTTGGCGGGTTCAAACCCGATCGAAGCCGTGGATTTTAAAGGGCGAAAAAAATCTTTCGTACGCCTTCCTTCGGAAGCGAAGTAAAGCCGGCTGTCCCATGTTCGTAGATTTACTTGCATGTAAAAGATCCTCAAGCCTAAATGACGCCTCTGAGCTAAATTCAAATCGCATGTTTCTCGCCCAAGAAATACCTCCTTTCTCTCCTAGTTGGTGAAAGGAGCGTAGCGAAATTTGCGTGGTCAGACGGAAGAGCGGGCCTGATGGCCCGAGTCTCGCCACGCAAATTCAAATCAAATCAAACGTTCAAAGCACTACCTACTGCTTTGCTACTGCTCGCTGCACCAACTCGAACGCGGAAATCACGTTTGAGCAACTTGTGTGCATCGAGAGAGGAGGGAAAATATTTCTAAGTGATGGGCTGTCGAACGATCACACTAGCGATCATTCTCTTTCAGATCTCGCTGGTGACTATAATTCAATTTTGCTGACTCAGGAAGGGAAACGGGACATGGAGGGTGGGCTGCCAATGCAACATTGAGAAAGCGTTTGCGATGGGATACTTTCTCGTGAGTAGGCTAGAGAAGGTAGAATTAACAACTGTTCTAAGAAACTCGATGAATTTGTAATACTATACTGGCTGTATATTCTCACTTTCCCAAAGATAAAATGAAACCTCCGTGATTTTGCATTCCCTCCCCTAAATTTAAATTCAATACTAGTACGTCTTATCACATTACATCTAACTTACTCAAGAAAACGAACTTCCTTATTAGATTTTTTAATACTTTAAAAATTTGCACGAAAACTCATGAAAATACACTGCGTCCGCAGGATGCAGTGCGTACCGAAGGATGCTTGCTCCGAATATGTTAGGAGAAATATGACTTTTGTAATCGTCTCTGATTGACTGATTGATTGATTGATTGATTTCCTGGCCCGTTAACGACATTGGCTATTGGTCCCGTAAGTGTTGTGCGTGCGTTATCGCGGGAGGTGGCGGTATTTCCCCCCCTCTGGATGGTGAGATCCGGCGCTGACCTGCAGGTCTGCTGGCGGATTTTTCCACAATGCAGGTATCTCTCATTAGCGGGATACCGCCTCAGTCGGTACATGCTCTAGGCTGTCGACATGTGTAAGAATGTATGAGAGAGGGAGGGGTGTAAGTAAGGGGTGAGGATAGGACACGGAAGAGTAAGGACAGATCGCGTGTGGTCCATGGCCTATTTATTAGGGTACTGCTCCAGCCTTCGCTTGGTATTGATCGAAGAAACCACGGAAAACTAGCGATCAGAGCAGCCGGCCGCTAGAAGTCTCCTCCACACTGCGGCTGAACTCGGCCTAGCTGTGTAGTTAGAGTCGAACATCCTGCGTCACCTGCGGGATCGAGCCTCAGGACCACTCGATCAGAGTCACTGCAGAGTCAGTGGCACGGCTGGATCTGAGCTAAACTCAGACAGAATAATCGCTTAATATATCGCCATATATACTGCATGTCACGAAGATTCGCACAAGGACGTATACATGTTTTTTTTTATTTTTTGGCGCGTGAGGGCCTGTCTTCACGATGGAATATCTCACGGCATTTCGCGTCTTTCTCGGTCGGGCCGCTAGATGTCGCATGATCGCCAGCAGTGCTCGGTCGTGATCATGTGACATCTAGCAGCACGTTCGAGAACGACAGGACACACCGTGAAGACCGGCCTTCACGCGCCAAGAAATG